AAGACAGGTTAGCTTTGGCTCATGGTTCCAGAGGGTTCAGTCCATGGTTAGCTGGCTCCAAGGCAGAAACAGCACAGTGGCTGTTCAAGGGAAGCCACTCACTCATGGCAACCAGGAAGCAGAGAGAAGGAAGAGCTGGTAATGTGACACCCTTACAGGTCACTTCCCCTGTGACCCAACTCCTTCAACCAAGCCCGAGCTCCTAACTGTACATTCAGCCATAAACTCATCCATAGAATGGTCCACTGATAAATACAGTAGCCCCGTATTCCACTCACCTTCCAAACACTTGAGATGTTTGGGGAACATTTTAACTGCAATTGCTATATGTATCAAGCCCAAGAAAAGAAATATTTCAAAAAAACACAGAAGTCATACCCAGTCCCTACCTCCCATGGCCACTTGTCTTCTTCATTAAGAAGATGGGAAGGTCATCTCTCCACTGGCTACACCTTCATTACAACATGTCTCGCATCCTTGACTATGAACACTGATAACTATCAACATGGGGAGATTCCTGGGCTCTGTGTGGAATCTCAGGCAAACATTTTATCCAATGGAGTGTTACTACTTTTTTAGACAAGGTCTTGCTATGTAGTCCAGGCTGGCCTTGAACTCACTATGTAGCCCAGGCTGGCCTCCACCTCTTGGCAATCCTCCTGGCTCAGCTTCCCAAGTGCTGAGATTACAGGCATGTACTACCAAGCCTGGCTTACTGTACATTCTTTATGGGAGGAGGAGAGCTAAGAGAAAAATCATACTTGGTTCCAATTTCAACACAATTCCCAAACAGCACACTTTCCACCTGCCCCAGATCTTCAGCAGGATGGGATAGGAGTGCTCCTCAGAGGCCGTGCTGGCGGCTGTGGGGAGCTGTGGCTGAGGCTTGAGGGGAAGGTGGAGGACTGGTATCTCCCAGGCTACCAAGATGTCACTTCTATTCTGTTTTTCAAGAAGCAGTCACCCTAAAGAACCAGCAGTCTGCCCTGTGGTCCTCCCACTAGGATCTTAACCCATGGCCCAGGTCTTCTGGGAGCTAAGTCAGAAGCTGGAGTGAGGACGTAGGTTGATGGCTGGCTGCTGCTTTACCTCTGTTATACCAAAAGCTAAATGTGTGTGTATTGGGGGTCTTCTGGAACTCTGCAAGGAGGTGTGACAGGGATGCATAGCTTCTTTCAAACCCAGGTGAGCTTCAAACCAAGAAAGTGGCAGAACAATCTCCATGTGCTAGGAATCCTTGGTCTCTGCAGGTGCTGCTGGAAGTCCCACAAGTCCGCAGTCTCTTCCTGTGTGATATAATTCAGTTTTATTGCAAAGGTGGCACTATGGTTTGGATGATGGCAGTTACCAACAAGACTTTGATTTGAATGTTGACTCTAATATGATGGTGAGGTATAACTACATTGACACCAGGCAAAAAAGAGCTCTGAAATCAATTACCAATGCCTGCTTTGAGCAGGGGAGGAGACACATGGATCTGTGTGCTACCCTGGTCTGAATCCTTGAAGTCAATGTTTACCCCATGCTTGTGCATGAACTAGACTATCTTTCTCCTGTCATCTTAACGTAAAGAGAGAAGCAGCCTCTGTGATGCCTTGGAGTCTCCAGAATTCACTTATGGTCTGCAGACTGGTGCTTAAGAAATCTTGTGGCTGGCATCCTGCCCTCTGCAGAACTCTGAGAAACTGTGTGTGGATGGGTCAGTGGTCTGGAGGTTGGTGATGAGAGCCGAAAGAGCAGGTCCATGTACCAAGTAGCTCGCAGTCTTGATCATAAGACTAAGATTTCAGAGTCTGTGAGGGAAACCAGTGCAGAGTCTGTGTAAGGAAAAGGGCAGGAACACAGGCAGGAGCCTGCCAGCATGCGCTTGCTGCACATCTACAGGCTCCTCACCCGGAGTCGACCAAGCTTGGATTGAAAGCATTCAGTGGGAGAGGGGCTGCACCTGTACTGAACATGTACAGACTCTGCTTGGCATCAGCCCCCAAATAACTCAGTGTTTGCATGGTATTTACACTGTAGTGGGCATTAGTAGTAATCTAGAATGATCTGAAGTGTGTGGAGGATATGCATAGCTCAGATGCACACGTTATACTGTTTTACGTAAGAGACTGGAGAATTCATATGGTTTTACATCCCTGGGCATCTTGGAACCAATCCCCATGGACACAGAGAGATGACTTTATATAATCTGAGAATCTACTCAAGGCAAGCGCAGAGTCTCAGGGGCTAAGCTGGGAGGTTCTGATGATGCTTCCACTGACACATCATACACTCTGGGGCTCCCGTAGGCCCTCTGGTGACTGAGAACTCTCATTGTCCTCACAGCCGCGGTCTCAGGAGCCAGCAGAGGTGGACAGAGTGGCCATGGTGCGGGGGAAGAGCCTTTGTGTCTGCCCTTCTACCAGAGCAGCCCAGCCGTACTAGCAGACTCAGCTACTCTGCGTGCCACCATCTGCAGGATCTAGCGGAGGAGGCCCATGATGACAGGGTCCTGGGCTCTCTCTGGGAGGTCTCCCAGTCAACACTCATCCATCTTCAGTCTGGATTGGCTCAGCCATAGGGTCACCAAGAATTACCCAAGCCGCACTGTGGGTTGGCAGGGCCTCTGCCCAAATATGCAAAACGCCGAATTTCAGATCCACGAAGAGCTTCCTGTAGTCACGCATTCTTTGCCCATTAGTAGAGCCAGAACAATATTTCAAGCTTTTCAAGTTCTTGCTGAGACAAAGTCACCAATGTGGCCATGGTGTGAACGAATGAATATTCACAGAGCCGCGGGGGGTGGGGACGAGAGCAGAGAGGCTGTGTACACGGAGAGCATCACGCTGCTGTGAGTACAGGGTACACAGGAGCAGAAACTTCTGCCCTCAGCAGAGGGCCAGGCTGTGGATGCTGCCTCTCGGCATCAGGCAGCACTGAGTCGGCTCCTTCTGGCATCTGCTTCGCTGGTCTGCTGCCCATTCCCAGGATTCCCACTCAGACTAGTCGCTGACTTTCCACACCGGTACTCCGGCGGCCTTTGCCATATGGAAATGGAGTAGACACATCATTAGCAGTCAAGGCTGCATCCTCCAGTGCTTCAGGGATACAGCCTCCTGAGAGCTGGCCCAGGTTCTAGGTCTGCGTGCAGTGTCTTCCTGACTTCATGACCACCTCCTCCTGCATCCTGGGCTTCACAGAAGGGAGTCGTCATTTAGAACTGGTGGGTTACCGCAGCTGTAAGAGGATGAAACAGAAGTTATACAAAATACATCAGAGGGGAAGGATCGAGGTGTTTTCTTTCTGAATCTGCTTTTAAAGATAACTTGCTGATGGCCAAGAGATTGTTGTATTCCCCAAATAAGTTCTAGCATTAATCACATGCTATTTCTATAAGCAATAAAGTTGAAGGATCCTGCTTCTCCAAGCAAGTCCAAGTGGTAGCTTCTGCTATTGTGGTCACAGAGCAGTCCTGCTGTTGGGGACAGGGGTGGGCATAGAAGGCCCCATATGAGGAAGTGCTCCAGTGTAGATATGGGTGCTTCATGGAACATTCTTGCTATTTTGTTGAGCCCTGAGACTTGGTCCTGATCTTCTGACCTCTGGACTAGAATACGGCAGAGCCCAGGGCCTAACCGTGGTCCAGTTGGAGCCTGAGCCCTATGTCTGCTCCAGCCACATTCATCAAAAGAGGAGATGATAGGCAACGGGATGGTTAATTTTATTGGCAAACGTGATCTGCCTACATGATGCCCAGATTGCTGGAAGCACATCATTTCTCTGTGTGCCTGTGAAGATGTTTCTGGAAGAGACTAGCATTTGAATCAATAGACTGAGTAAAGAAGTTCCACCTTCTCCAGTGTGGTTGAGCACTGTCCAGTCCAGTCCACAGAGGGCCTGAATAGAACAAGGCACAGGAAGGAGGAATTCTCAGGGCTTGAGTCGGGACAGTCATCTTCTCCTGTCCTTGGGCCTCAGAGCTTCTGTTTTGGGCCTTTGGCCTCCTAGATTTATGCCACTGACTGCCTGGTCCTTAGGTCCTAATTCATCGTCACTTTTTCTGGGTCTCCAGTTGGTAGATCAAGGGACTTCTCAGCTTCCACAGTCTGGTGGGCCAGTTCGCACACTGGTCCTTTCTTAGATATCCTGTATCTCCTAATGATTCTGTGTCTCTGGAGAACCATGACAGATTCAGGTAATTGGTGCCACTCCCGGCAATGGCCATCATCTCCAATTAGCTCTCTCCTTATTTTCTCTCAAGTGACAACTATTGGTTGCCAGATTCCAACAGCAAGTTAAGGAGAACGAAAGATGATGCTTGAGTCCTATGACCAGCAGAGATGTCATAACCTCATTTCTGGCCAACCGGGAGCTCCCACATGGTCCTCTGTTCTCCATGTCCTTTCCTGGCTGCCAGACCCAGAACTTGATGTCTCCTCTGTGGCTTTGTCCATAGCTGGTACACACACCAGTGGTCATCTCCTGGGCATCCTAGGCCTCCATGATATCTCTGAGAGCCAGTATTTGGCTACAAATGTCAGATCTACTATGTCTACACTGTGGATAGCAGCAACAGCCACTGTCAAGACCATGAGCATTTACCATGTACTTAGACCACCTCAGATGTGCTGTGGCTTCACATGCCTGAGCTCCTTCATCTTGCCAGACGCCTTTGAGGTAGGTGTTTGACTTATTGCCATTTCACAGACAAGGAACATAAGAGTTAGCATTCATTAATCACCTCCTCTACACTACCTCCTTTGTGAAGTGCACTGAGGATATTCCACTCACTCTCCTGTTAGCTCTGTGAATGCATGCCCGTTGCACAGATAGGAATACCGGAAGCTCAGTGGAAGGTAAGTAACTTGCCCGAGGACACAGAGTTTATGAACATGAGAGCCACAGGACTCAGTCTCAGGCAGTCTACCTTCAGGGAGCTCCCACGGCCACCCCCAGGCTCAGGACAAATTCACTCTGCTGAGGGCACTTGATGGCCCCACGTCAGTGAGCTCTCTGAGATGGCGCTGGTGTTGTCACTGAAGATTCTAGCTCTGCAGAAGGAGGTCAGTCTGCTCCAGCACCTGGAGGCAGTGCAGCCTGTCCCTAAGCAGTGAGTGCTGGGATGCGGAGCTCAGGAATCAGCCCGGGGAAGCTCTGGAAAGTGAGCGCACTCAGAACAGCCATTCAGCCCTGGCCCTAGAAGCAGTGGGGGCGGTGTGGGTGCCAGAATGGCACAAGAGAACTTTCACGTAATCACAACCACATGTCCCGAAATAATGGCAGCGACTTTCTCCTCACACACGAGGACCCTGGAAACTGCTTCAGGAAATTAGCTCCAACCCCTGATTAAGTTAAGCTAAACGTGTCAGGAAGGCAGACAGAGTGGAAATGGATCTTGGAGCATCACGTGGCCCCCGACATTCCTGGCCATTAACCATATTAAATGGACAGAGGGACCATAAGTAGACAGAGAAAACTTCACGTTCTTGGGTGAAACTAAATCCTGTGAAGATCAGTCCATTCATTTTTCATCTATCTCTAGGCAGACTTGAAATTCAATCTCACACCAGCTAGGCTATTAGAAGAAACATTCACATAGCAGAGAATGTGCATTGTTTACTGCCATTTGTTCTTAATTTTAAAGACTGCAAAACACTGTGACACTGATCTTCCCACCTCCTGGAAGCGTCACACCGAGACTTGTTTCCAGTGTCGTTGTCAACACTCACTCGAAAGAGCTGTATGGACTCTGTGTCTTTTAAAAGCCCCCTCCTCCCAAATCCTGGATGAAATAAACAACGACCATGCTGATTCAGCCCGGTCACGTGACCACCACACACTTTCAATCTCCCAGGCATTTCTTTGTCCATTGGCATCAGATAATGGCCACTTAAACTGGATCCATTTCCTCTCTGTTTTCCTACCTCGTTACCCTGATTAGTGTGGGGTGACACCCCTTGAACCTCGTTTTATGACCAGAGTCAAGGAAACAGTGGTCCTTTCTCGAAGCTCCTTGTCCTTCCTCTCCCCTCCTTCTAAACTGCGCCCTCACAGTAGAGACTCTCTGAAATCTCTTTCTTAGGACAGGAAGCTGCGTTACTGCAGGACGCAGGAGACCCGGAGGCCTCAGGGCGTGTCTCCAGTCCAAGTGTTTAACGACATCGAATCATGGGATTCTTGGGCAACTGAGAACCAGCACCCAGGAGTGTGCAAATTAGCTTTTAAACCTCAGTTTGGAAAGTGGAGTCATTTTTGTTTTTTGAGGGCTCGGAGGAAACCTGAGCAGGCATCTCAGTTGTGAGCACACAACTGAGTTTAAGGGGTTTCCTTGGGACCAGATTAAGCTTTGAAGTGGGGCCTCCCTTCAGATGGCGGGGCAGGCATATGCCTAAATGATCGCGTTTCTTTCCTGGTCTTTCTTAGAGACCTAAGATGATTTAGGAAGTGTCTGCTGATATCCCAAAGTCTGACACTGCTGAAAAGCCGCTGCGTGACTCTGTAGGGTCCATACCTCCTTCTGTGACTCCCTGCCTGTGTGCTGCTCTCTCCTCCCCAGTGAAGGAAAGGTCTTTCTGTCCTGTGGAGACAGCTGTTCTGAAGTCTGAGGGGTCCACTTCCCTGTCACTTTCAATTGTCTCTGCATATGAATTGTCATGAGACACACACCTTTCTCTCTGACCTTTAACTGCTTTTGCTTATTAAACTTCTCAGTTATCTCCTTGGAATAAAGAATGAGATTGCATAGGAGAACCACACACAGATTTATACAGGAGGGCTGAGCTATCAAATCAGCCACAGCAAAAGAAAACAGGCGTCACGTTCCCCCAGGACAAAGGGCGGAAAGATCCCCTGACAAGTCAAAACACACTGTGTCCCAAGCCACTCAACTCCAGTTAATGACAACTTTATTTGTGAAAATAATGTAGGCCAGTGGTTAGATGTTTTCTCTTTACTAATGACTCAAAATCTGGAGATGAATGGTAGGTTCTGTTTTTGTAATAATAGGTATTTCGACTGATATTTTAGCCACAAATGTCACATTTCTTAGCTCTCCCCCACTATCCTCATCATTCAGAGTGAATGTCTAGATTACAATATTGATAGCAGAGCACATTCTCCCTTCCTCCACCCATGTTCTTATCTTTGGTGCTGTGTTTATCCCTAACTAGTCACATCTGAAGTGGCATTAAGTCTAAAGGGTCTGTGCATTCTTATTTAATATCCCCGGAAAGAAACTGAAGCCCGGGACAGACTCCTCGTCCCTGCCTTACATAGCTCCCTGCACTGAAGTCTTTCCCAGGTTCATCCACTCATTGTCCTGGTCTCTCTGCCAAGGTACCACCGGACCTTGGAGAGTCACTTACAGCTGAGCAGCGACCCTCTGACCAGAGTGCAGAGTCACGGGGAAAGTTGCCTGCACTGCCAGCCCCTTGATTATCCTCAGTACAGGAAGAGCCAAAGCTCATTGAAAAATTAGTCTTACCCAAGCCTGGGCATCAAATAAGAGTCGACACAACTAGAATTCATATTTGGTGTGTGTCTCATCAAGACTCCAGCCTGCAGGCCACGTGTGGCCTTGGCCATCACTTGGATACACAAGGGGTGATTGAAAACCACTGTGAAGGCTTAATTTTTCAGAAAATTATAGTAAAGAGCACATTGTCATTAATCCCCTTCAAAATCCTCCTCCTCACTGTGACCGCACTCATCCCATCATCCTTCCACTTTCTGCAGCAGCTCTAGAAGTCCTTCTTTGGTGTCATTACAAGGTGTGATAAAAAGCCAGGGAGATAGCCCCAAGCCTCTAGACCCTCCCCTGCTTCCACCACAAGAAAGAACTGTCAAAAATTTTCATGAGTTGCTTAATCTCTTCTGTTCATGCAGAAACTTTGAACCCTGCTCATTAACACTTAAATGTCTACAGCATGACCTAAGTGCCAGAAATCGAAGTACATTTTTCAACTTCTGTGCCCTAAAGAGTGAGGAAACAATGATTTACAACTGTCCAGTAACATTTTTTCCTCCAAACTGAAAAGCTCTAAGTCCTTCATTCAGCAAACAAGAAAGAAAACAGTTACCCCATTTATCTTGTTTTCCAAAGAGCTGACCATTTTGTCAGCCTCTCTGTGAACTAGCTTTTCCACAGCACCCTTCAATTTTGGAGACTAAAACTGGACACGGTTTTATAATGATACCCAAATGGATGCCAAATGTCCCTAAAACTTGTTTTTATGTCAATATATGGCAACAAGTGACTTCCTCTTTGCACAGTACTATCCATCCCTGACTCATACCTTATTACTGCTCAGGAACTAACCAGGTCTGTCCAGGGATGAGTATATTTGACACGGTCATCTCCTCATCTCTATTTATATTCCAGAGATTCACACTACACTCCTATTCCTATTGCAGTGCTTCCTGCTTGTGGTAGAGAGATCACGGAAATATCTGCAAACAACTATTTTCTTTTTTTCCTGATGTTTATTTACATGTTTCCCTAGGCAGTATGGGCACAGAGTTGGTGTGGTAAATGTACTAAACCACGTGGCCTCAGGGAGCTAAGTGACTGACAAGGAGGTGTCAGAGTGTCGGCCACTGGATGGTGTGTGGGGAGACCTGACCCCATGGCTGATTCGGCCTGTGTTCTTTTCCTCGTCACTTATGGGAGCACTAACTCTCCAGCAGTTGTGTGTGAGCAGAGATCTCCCAGATGCGTACAGGGAGAGGTCAGCAATACACTTCCAACTATGAGCGTCCAGATTACTATCATTGAGGGCCGTCAAACTTAACACTGTGTGTGCTGGATGGTAAAGCAACAGAGCCTATTTAGCCAGCACAGAAGCTGTACTTCTGCATGTCATGCTTTGTGAGAGGGCTTGTGTTATTGTTGTTGGGAGTGGTGGGTGTTGTTACTGCTTGTTTAGGTTGGAACAATAAAAGACTGAGGCAAACAACATAAGATCAGCAAGGGTCACAAAACAACTGGCAGTTATTTCTTGAATCAACATTTTGAAGGTAGCAGGCCCTGCCCCGTGCTCATAAAGTCACTCTGAAAGCCACGTGCAGGGGTAAAGTAATTAAAGAGGAGGACATAGACACAATTTTGAGGTTGTCTTTCTTTTTTCATTTTGCAAAATAACAGTCTGGTCATGAAAAGTGAAACACTGGAGCAGACACATGGCACCTTCTACTTCCTGCTCATGTGGGATGGCCGGCCACAGCCAAGCTGACCGTGGGCATTTCACACTTGGCAGCTGTCAGAGGACCGCTGTGAAATCAGACCCGAGGCCCAGGCCACTTCCGGGCAACAGATGCACACGCGGCACATCTGAACTGGGCTTTGGGAGAGACGTGTAGTCCAGGGACTGGGTGGCCTGAAAGGTGGATTACCGCGGAGCTGACTGCAGTAAATTCATTAATCCATGGGTCACTCATTTCTCCTCTCCCTCTTTCTCTCCTTTACTTCCTTTTGCTTTCCTTGCTTTTGTTTTTCTTTCTCTTCTTTCCTTTCTGATTTCGTACATTCGTTCTTCCCACTCATTATTCGTGTATTTCGGAGACCAGTCTTGAGCACCTATCACACTTCCAAGGCTGTGAAGCACAATTTTCCACATTCTCTGGTAAAGCTGCAGACATTTCAAGATTCTGAAAATGGTTCTGTGCGTATTTGTATATGTGTCCGCGTGTGCATGTGTGTGTGTGTGCATGTGTGTGCACGTGAGAAAGAAGAAATCTAAATTGAAATGAGGTATTAGAGAGGAGAGAGAGTTTAGTTCAGATCAAAGATAAAAGTTTGAGAACTAGTATTAAAATCAACACAAAAAGAAAAGAGGCCCTTAACTACAGGCAGTTTCTGCATTCTTTGTGAAATGAAAGCTTATACTCTGTATTTCTCAAGTAGACAGCCTGCCCTGATCTTTATTCCTGATATGTACTCTTGTATCACATGCTTACCTGGTGAGGCAGGATTTTCTTTCCGGCATCTTTTTATACATTTGTGCATATAAAGTTTCCACAGCTTGAGCCCTGCTTTTTGCAAGCAAAGTTGTCACCCTAGAGCCACAGTCCCAAGCAGCCCCTGCACAGACTGCGAAAGTGGACTTCAACTGCTTTGGGGCTCCCCTAAAGGCGCCCTCAAGTCCTTCCTATCACCTCATTAAAAATCTATGGGTTACAATGCCCTGTTCTTCATCAAGAACCAATTTGCTGCAAATAAGAATGTTTTCAGGTATTTTGTGCCTCCTCTCTTTTAACCTTGGGTCATGGTCCCTCTATATTTTTCACTCCAACTTTACCTTACTGTGAAATGTGTCAAATGGAAAGGAGACCCTTTTGTTACTCCCTCCAGCTCACCTAGGGGATCTAACCCCAGGTCTGCGTGCAGCGACCGGGGTCACATGCGGCCAAATGCGGGCGAAAGGGCTGGTTACATAAACACGCCGGGAGCGGAGATTGGTGACAGGCACCCACCATCGACCTTCACATTAGCCAAGTTCAGTTCCGCCCCTACTGTCCAACAGTGCAATAATACCTAAAGGAACCGCCTTAGGAATGTGTTTATCACTAGGAGAAAGCGACCTCTTGCCACTCTCCTGACTCTTCAAACAAACATGTCCTTCCCACGGCAACTGGCTGTGCCTCCTGTCTTGTCCTTTGATCCTGCCACCACGGGCCTTTGCCCCAGCAGATGTCAGGCCAGGTTTCACATTTCGCTGGCGTGCACTGGCAGTTCCCTCTGTGAGAAGACGGGCGTGCATCAGGGCTGTTTGCTGGACAAAGCCAGAGAAACATGGGGCCAGGCGTCCTTGACTTACAGATGGTGAGAAAGTCCCAGATGGCCCTGGAGGCTGCCCGCATCCCAGCAGGAGGCCACGCCCACTTTCTTCTGTCCCCCCTGCCCCTCCACTCCATTGGTGGGGCAGTGTTGGTAATACTGTGCTCGTCAGCCAGAGACTTTGTTAGACTAACACGATATTGATTGACTTTATTGCCTATGAAAGTGTGTAGTGTAGCCAGGGGCAGCAATGCTGGTCTCACAGATGCTGTGAGAATTCTCACAGAACCTAGAAGAACTAAAGGCTCTGCAGCCAGGCCCCGGGGAACACTGATGGACAGGAAAGGCCCCGGGGACCCAGGAGAAGGAGATGAAAAAAGACCTCCTCACAGACAGCCCAGGAGGAAAAGCCAAGTGTGCGTGTGGGACCCACTGTCTTTGTGGTCCCAGAGATCCCCGCTCAGCTTCCAGGCTCCACTCCAGCTACATGCTCTGAGAAGCTGCTTCCAAAGGGTGTACTTTAAAGGCTCTTAGAGAAAGAGTATTATTATATCATTCCCACTTGTCCCTGAAAGCTTGCAGGTCAGAATGAGCCTTTGCCTGGGGTTTTGGAGACACCGCGGAGTGCCCCTCAGCCTGGGCAGGCACCTCCTCCGGGCCTGCCAAAGAGCTTCCAGCTGTCTGAGAAGTGAGGGCCCCACCGGCAGGCAGGGCTGCGGGGAGCAGGCGGTGGGGAGTGTGCTGCATCACAGAGGCCCCAGCCACCCAGCCGAGGGGGACCCGTCTGCCAGCCGGGGTCCTTGTGCTGCCGTCCTGCGGAGGAAGGTGTCAGCCATGCAGGAGACAGGAGTGCCTGGAGGCTCTCTACAGCTGTGCTGGGGTTGGCAGAAGCTCTGGCAGAAGGAGTAGGCTGTCTGGCTTCCTTGATACGGCTGCCAGGAAATAAGAACCCCGAGCAGCCCTCGCGTGGCCTGCGCTGACCTGAGCCGCTGCATACAGCCTCTGAGACTCCTGCCTTCCTCCTTTCTCGGCATCCTGGCTGAGCTGGGGTCTGGGTGACCCTCTGCAGCAGCTTGTTCCTGAGCCCAAGGACGTCACACACCCCACAGGCCTCCTCTTCAGCCTCCAGAGGTGCAAGAAGACGAAGGTGCGGAGCTCTTAGCTGCACTCCCCTGGCAGCACAGTGAGAGGCTCAGCTGTGTGGGTGGAAGGGAAGTCAGTCTCATCCACCTTCTGGTTCCTGAGGACTGACCACACCGTTCACCAACCTGTTTCGGTAGAAACGCTTCTGGTGCAATGCTCAAGACATGTGTTTCTGTGCGAGTGTAAGTGCTATTTTACTAGGGCCTTTAGATCATCAGGACGGTGTTTGCAGAGCCTGACAAAGTGATAAATTTTGCTTATTTTAATCCTTTCCTTTTTTCCACCAGAGGTTAATTGTTTGGTATTCTTTGTTAAACTAACACTTTTGATGGGGTAAGAGCCACTAAGGCCACTTAAATAAACAGACTATTCAGGTAAGAACAGAAAAACCAGCAGAGACACAAGCCATTAACTTGCTGGCTTGGGGCCTGGCACATTAGCGGCCTGACATTTTCAGGGACATGTGGATTCTTTCTGAGATTTAAAGAAGATCCATTAACGACTAACAAGAATATTTTTTAGGTAGAGGAAATAGATTGTTTGATGTTCAGTCTTTCTGAATTATTAATATAAGCCCTCTTAAGTCATATTATATTGCCCTTCCAATCCACTACTTACTTTAATTGCTATTATTTGTACAGTGGTGCCCCACTTCATGAACTTAATTCATCCCATGATTCTGGAGAAAGTGGCCACAGTGGAGTTCATCCCCAAATACAGAATTCATTTTTTGTTTGTTTGTTTGTTTGTTTTCCAGTACCGGGAATCGAACTCACAACCTTGTGCTTTCCAGGCAGGCGCTGTGCCACTGAGCTAAATCCCAGCCCCTAGAATTCATAAACGGAAGCAAAATTTTGCCAAATGGTTCTCTCTGCAAACCGAATTCTCTGTGAGCGGAAACATTCAACAACTGAAGTATTACTGTATTTTTTAATGTTTCACATAAGCAAGATACATCTGTCTTTATGTGCATCCTGTCCTTTCTGTTTGCAGATTTTAGAATCTAGATTTTACACCGTCCTAAAGTGATTGAAGGAAGCTCTGCATGTGTTCTCTGCTCCAGGAGAGCTACTACCTCATGGGAATTTCCTATTTCTCTTAGAGATTATTTTACAGTAAAAAGGTCGAGTAATAATCTGTGTTCAGTAGCAAGAGGGAGAATGATCTTGATGAAGGGGAGACTTGCCACAGGTTGGGTTCCAGGTCAGCTTCGGGGTTCAGATGTTCCTTAAGGGTGAACAGCTGCGGAAGAAAGTAGGAGGAGATGACCTTGAGCAAGATGAGCTGGTTCAGTCCCAAACCTCTACCAAATGGTTTCATTCTTCTCGTGAGTCTCGAAGTTAAGTTATTGTAACTCCTCAAACTTGCTTCTGCTCCAAAATATTTTCCTTATCCCTAGGCATTTAAAGTTCTATACAAATTTTAGAAAAAGCCATCAGTTTATACCCAAAAATCTAATAATTGGAACTGGGTTGTGTTATGGCTTATATCTAGATGTTCCCCCCAAATTTCATGTGCTCATAGGTGAGGCTTTTCAAAGCTGGGGGGATCTAGGGTATGTGATCCTGGGATTAAGGATTTCTTCTACTAAATTAGTCCACTGGTTGGAGTTAGCATAGTTCTGAGTGACCTCACCCCAAAGCCCGGGTGGGATAAAAGGCAAAGGCAGGCTGGCTGGCTGCTGCTTGCTGCCTTTTGCCTGCCCTGCCATGAGCTGTTTTCCTTCTGTGATGCCCCACGGTAGATGCATGGATTCAGAGGTTCCCCACCAAGTGTAAAGTGAGCCATAGTTTCACTGCAGATTCTCTTTAGCAGGATAAGATCATATAATCTCATTCCTGTAGTGTGCTTATCATTTTAAAATATGAATGGGATTTAAGTACTATCCATTTTTTGTATATTTTTTGAGATTACAATATGGTCCTTTTTATTCTGTTAATATAGTAAATTTATTTGATTTCCTTCTGTTCTGGAATAAATCCCTCTTGCTCATGATGCTTTATATTATACTTATATATATTGTAAAACACTATTTTCTAATATAGTTTTAAGGACATAGCATCTATGTTCATAGATGATAGTGGTCTATAGTTTTCTTATTGTGATATTTTCTTGGGTTTTGGCACAGGTTAATGTTGACACTATAAAGCATTATCAAGTGAATTTGGAAGTGTTTCCTCCCCACTCTCTCCCCAAAAGAGTTTGTGTAGGGTTAGTAAAGATTATTTATTTTTAATTCACACATGATTGACATATTTATGGGGCATGGTATGATGTTTCCATATGTATGTACATTGTTTGATGATCAAATGAGGAAATCAGTATATCCACCGTCTGAGAGAGGTGGAGAATAGTATAGTAGTTACTAGGGCCTGGGGAGGGTCGGGCAAAGAGGTGGTAAGGGGCTGGCCACATGCACAGAGCTTCAGTCAGATAGCTAGCGGGGTGAGTGCCCACGTAGATCTGTAAGGTACGGTGACTGTAGTTAACCACAGTGCATCTTATATTTAAAATAACCAGAAGGAAGGATTGGTATTGTTTCTTTCTTAAATATTTCATGCAGTTTATCAGTGAGATCAGCTGGGCCTGGTATCTATTTCCACTGGAGAAAAATTTTTAATGTTCAATTCAATTCTTTATTTGATATATACTATTGAGGTTCTACTTCGTTTTGAATAAATTTTGCTAATTTATGCCTTTCATGGAACTTGCCTTTTCCATCGAGGTTATTGTGTTTATGGGCATAACAATATTTAATTTTTTAATGCCTGTGGACTCCAGAGTGATGTCTTTTCTTCCTGATATTAAAATTTGCATCTTCTTTTTAAAAAACTTGATGAGTAATGGTATGGATTATTAATTTCATTAATATTTTTAATGAGCCATATCTGGTTTTATTAATTTTCTCTATTGTTTGTTTTATATTTGATTGTCATTCTCATATCTATTATTTCTTCTCCTCTACTTCCTTTAGGTTAGATTCTTGTTTTGGGATTTTGTATGTTGCAAATCTGAATCACTGATTTTAATTATTTCCATAGTATTTAAAGGTAAAAATTTTCTTCTGTCACTGTTTTAGCTGTATTCCCAAAATTATGGCAACTTTCATTTTAGTTCACTTAAAATATGCTATAATTTCTTGTTATATTTATGTGGGGTTTTTTTAGAAGTATTTTGTTTCATTTCCAAATATTTGGGGAATTTTCTAGAAATATTTCTTTATTGATTTCTAATCTAATTCTATTCTGGTTAAATAAATAAACAAGTCATTGTGATTTTAATTTTTTAGAATTTCTTGAGACTTATTTTACAGCCCAGTATATGGTGTACTGTGGCAAATACACCATGTGTGTCTGGACAGTATATGTTTCCTACAGCTTTGGGGTAGTGCCGCAGGAAAGCCAGTTAGGTCAGCTTGGGTAACAGTGTTTCCCATATCTGATATACCTCAGCTAGTTTTCTACTTGTTCCATTATTTAGAGAGAGAGAGAGAGGAGTTTTAGTCTCCAATTATGGTCATGGATATGTCTATTTACTCTTCTAGTTATGATAGTTTTGCCTCAGATATTTTAAAGTTCTATTAGATCCATATATCTTTCTTACAATATATCGTTAAATAAGCCTCTTGTCTTTATGAATTGACCTCTTTTGCTCCTGGTGCTGTTTATTTCTTGCTCTGAAGTCTCCATCAACCTATCTCTGCCATTGTCTTTAAAGCTAGTGCGTTCTTGTTGTATAGCATGTTCCTGGGACTTGTTTTCTTATTCAATCTGAAGATCTCTGCCCTGCGGCTGACATATGGAGGTCAGCACTGTCCGGCAGAGCTTTCACCAGTGATGAGGATGTCTCTCTCTAACCACTTTTCAAGGCAGAGACCACCAACACACATGGCTACTGAGCCTCAGACATGTTTCTAGTTTGCCCGAGGTCTGAATCTTTTTAATCCTAATTAAATTTAAATTTAAATAACCACGTGTCTAGTGGCTACCATATGGGCAATGGAAGCTTACATAATTGACATTCAATATATCTTGAGATTAGTTGTTTCTATTGGTTAATCTTATATATGTTCTTTTCCCCCCTTTTACCTTCCTTTTTTTTTTTTGGTCTTTTTGAGACAGGGTCTCACTATGCAGTTCAGGCTGGCCTTGAGCTCACTTTGTAGCCCAGGTTGGCCTCGAACTCACGACGATCCTCCTGCTTCAGCCTCCGGAGTGCTGGGATTACAGGTATGCACCACCATGCCCAGCTGTACCTTCCTTTTATAATTACATTTTGCAATTTCATTTTGTATCCACTATTGCATTATTAGGAAGACCACTTTGCTTTAATTTTTTTGGTTGTTCTAGGGTTTAAAACACATTTAAAATAATCTCCATCTTTAGACAATTTTTTTAGCTTTGAAGGAGAGGTTTGTTGAGCTCACAGTTTTGTAGGTTTAAAGTCTAAATGGCATAGCACAGGCTCTATGGCAAAGCCTTTCTCTTTTTACAACAATCTTCTAATGAGAACTGATCTCTTATCCCCTGTGTCCTCAGGCCCCACGGGCCTATGTTTTAAAGGTCTTAGCCCCTCCCAATAGCATCACCCTGGGGGACCAACCCTTTAACACATGAACACCTGGGGGAGACACAGATCATATTCAGGAATATTACATCACTTAAAGATAGTGTAAGAACTTGGTATCTAACACTTCGTCTTTTTGTTGTTCTTGCATACATATATTATGAGCTACACAAACCAATGTTGTTACTAACAATATTCGTTTGTTAGTAAAAGAAATTTAAAAAACTAAAAAACAACTCAATTTCACTTTGTTTGCACACACCATTTCTGGTGCCCTTCCTTTCTCAGACAAGTCTTCATCTGGAGTCATTTTCCTTTGACCTGGAGATTTTCCTTGAACATTTCTCATGATGAGGATATGCCGATGCTCAACTCTTCCTTGTCTGTCTGATAATGCTTCAAGATAGAACACATAAAATTCAAAATTGACAGTTTTCCTCCCCTTTTAACAAAGGTGTATAATTGTCCCCTGTCTTACACAGTTTTTGACAAAATTTGTCTTCTTCTGTTCGTAATGTGCCTTTTCTTCTTTGGCTACTTTCCCCATTTCTCTTTATCACTGGATCTCAGCAGTTTCATTATGAAGAGCTTGATGTGGTTTTCTTTGTGTTAATTCAGATTATGGCATATTGGGCTGCTTGGATCTGTGGGATAGAATTTTCATTAAGTTTTAAAAGGGTTCTGGCATTTCCTCACTGTTTCTTCTTTTTCTCCTCTTTCCTTGACTCCAATTACAGATATGTTTGGTAGCTTGATATTGTCTAACAGGCCACTCCAATCTAGTCATTATTTTTTATTCTTTTTTCTCTTTGTGCTTTCTTTTGGATAGTGTCTCTTGCCGTATCTATTATCTACACAGATCTTTTAAAGTTCCTAGTATTTTCTTAATTCAGTCCAATGACATTTGTTTATATTTTATTTTATTGATTTATATTTTTTGGTACTGGAATTTGAACTCAGGACCTTGCACTTGCCAGGCAGGTGTTTATGCCACTGAGCTGTGTTGCCGGCCCTTGTTTACATTTTAGGATTCTTTTTCTTCTGGAAAATTTAGTTGATTCCTTTTTCACAAATCTTTTATTTCTCTCCTCTTACATTCCTGATTTCCTTTCAACCATTGAGCATATTAAAGGTAATTACATAGCTATTTTCAAGAGTTCTTTTCCTGCTGATTTTACCATTCTGACAATATCTAGTTCTGTTTTTGCTGACTGTGATTGCTCTTTTTTTGTGTGTTATATTTTCTTGTTTCTTCATGTGTAGGAGAGTTTGGAAAAGTGTCCACCAAAGATCTGAGGCCTAAAAGCTTAGTCCCAGGACTATGGTATTACCGGGAGTTGGTGGAGCTTTTGATTTAGGGCCTGCTGGGAGTCTTGCAGTCACTGGATGTGTGGCCTTATAGGAGATATTGTGACCCTAGACCCCGTCCTCTCTTTCCCTTTAGTGTCCTAGCCATGAAGTGAGTGGTTCTGCCATCACAGGCTGCCTCACCACAGGCCCAAGAGGAACTGGGCCAACTGACGAGGGACTGTAACCTCTGTAATCTAATTAACCCTTTTCTTTATAAACTGATGTATCTCAGACATTTGCTACAGTAATGGAAAACCAACTAATACAATATGTTTAGTAATTTTTAATTAGATATCAGCCACTATTTTAGAGCTGGATTTTTAAGAATGTTAGATTTTATTTGGGCTGGTACTTATTTGTTGACTAATTTGGTGTGTTTTAGTACATATTTTTGATCTTTTGAGTTTTTCTAAGATGAGATTAGTTTAGCCCTGCTACTGTGGCATGACTTTTCTGCAGCCTCTACTGAAGACCTTCATTATTTAACACGGTCTCCCCTCTTCAGCTGCCAGCCAGTTGGTTTTCTGACCCTCAGAATTGCGTGGTCTACAATTACTTGGTATTTCATCTATGCCTAGGATCATCTCTTCATCCAACTTTGTGGAGAATCACTCTGTGCACGTGTAGACTCAAATTCTGGTTATTGTCATGTCAGCTCAGGGAGATGGGCTTGCTCTGTGGGAATTCTTTTCCCACATAATAGTCTGGAGTCTGCTTCCTGAAATAAGCTGAAGAGCTCTGGAATCCTCATTGCTGGTTTCTTTCTCTCAGAGACCTTGGTCTTGCACTTCCTATTTTCTAATGTCTGAAAATGGTTGTTTCATATCGTTTGTCCAGTTGCCTGTTTAAAATAGAGCAAGCTTCAAATATTTTACTCCCTCATGGCCAGAAGTTGTGCTTTATTTGTAATATATGATTATAATCATCATTCATACAATTTTGTGCCTCCTTTTAAAAACTAACCTAATCTCCCATGCTGTTCATGTGCTCTATAAGCTTCCTGACCAGGGGTATTTTAATTTGACCTTGTCTATTTCTCTGGAGGACACTGAGACTATTTCCAATTTTTTCAGACTTAAGATAAATATTTTGGGCTTAGTGGCCATCCTAATATCATTGTCTCCACCTTAACTAATACCTCAGCCCACCTTCTTCCAATGTGAATTCTGCAAAGAAGTCCATCCAGATGTTCCATGAGAAAAGGGCGCCTGTTTGATTAGATTCAGGAAATACCACATGCTAAATCTTTTTCCCACAGTGTACACTGCCTTGTTGAAGACTCAAAAAATCTTGCATAAAGGAGCCATATTTATCTTTTTTGTTGCAACTTTAATTTTCCAGAAAACGTTATATGTTTATTATGTTATGTTGTTGAACAGCACCCACATCAGGACTACTTTCAACTTCAAACAGTAGGGCTTAAAGCATGTGCCTCTCCACTGGGGCCTGAACCAGTAGTTTGGACTCCAGTACACGATGTACTGCAGTTTTATGAACCCCTAAAAGATCTGGAAGTGATATTGCAAGTGAGAGAATCCCCAGTGCAAACCAGGACTCGGACCCCACTTGGGTGGGCAGGCTGAGGCCCCAGAACAGGTGGGTTCTTGATGGAAAGAAATCGTGATGGGCATTAGCAGCCAGACTGCTCCATGGAGGCTCCAAGGAACATGGAGAAAGAGGCTCTCTGGAAATACAAGTTTTGAGACCTCTCCAGGCTGCTGTTCCCCACAGGCCTCAGGAGAGGCAGTGGCATCTGGGAATCATGAGATTGTATCCGGGGTCTCAGCCTGATGCCCTGGAACTGTGGAGGACAGCCCCACAGGCGGCAGAGTCTGCTGCCTCCGGGCCCCTCTGTGATGGCTCCCATGTGCTGAACACCTCTGCCCCTTATCCAGAGGGAAGGAAGGAAGGGAGAAAGAAGTTCTTACAGAAAAAGAAAATGTGAACTTTAGGGAAATGATCTTGGACCCTTGGATTCTGCCTTGAGATTTTGGTAAAGGCTTCCAGAGAAGCTCCACTGATGGTTTTGGATGGGAAGGGGTCGCCTGGGTGTAATCAACACAACTACAACTGCAAATCCCGGGAGCCCCAGTAAGCCCCAAACCCAACAATGCGTAGTCAATCAGCAGAGCTCAATGGTGACGTTGATAGGGTCCCCAACACTAAGCACACCCAGCCTTCCAGGGTGAGGCCAGCATGTGGACAGTCTCCCACTCACACACCCAGAGGCAGGAAGGAGATGCTGCGGCCATGACAACATTTGGTGTCTGAGCCACACTGGAAAGTGGCCCCATTCTCCTCTGGGGTGTGTGGCAATCCTGGGGAGGAATCCTCCAAGCGCAGAATGTGGGCTAAGTGGGAGGCCCGCCTGACCTGCACTGGCCTCCTCAAAGACATTCTGCTCAGGCCCTAGACTTCCCAGTGCACACGCACAGCAGCTTGTCAACAGATCCCCTAGGAAGACATCAGGGACACCAGGACTAGGAGCCCTGGAGAGCTGTGCATGTGCCCCCAGCATCCCACGACACAGGGTAGGGGAGGCTGCTTCTCACCCATCTTTGGTTCTTAATAAAAGTAGTAAAGTTTTAAAGCTATATGAGAACTGAAGAGGCTGGGCAGAGCCAGGCGCCTGCGCTTCAAGGGCAGCAGCTCAGGGAGAGTCAGCAGAAACCAAGGGAAGCCTCCTTTCCCTGTGGACATGCGGGAGTAACACGGAATTCCACTCTTCCGAATGAGGAAGGGGGCACTAGCCTGTAGGAGCGAGCAGCTCCCTGGGTGTTGCTCAGGTGTTAGTAGCAAGCTGGATTGTGCATCTCAGTTATGGTGTAAAACTCTCTGGAACGTGCCCAGGACAAATCTGGGAAGCATCCCAGTTGGGGAAATGAGTGAGGGGGCCTGGTTCTTTCTGGGCCGTCCTAATTTCAATGCCCATCCGCCCACACCTGGGTTTTGGCTTGGAAAGATACGGTCGCTAAGAATCACACGTGGAAGATTTGGGCAGCAAGAGATAAGAGGGACCCTCAAAGCAGTTCTTACTGATAGCGCTGTGACCAACACTTCAAGCACTTCCAGCACTGTGCCTTCACTGAATGACCTTTCAAAACATGGGTTAAAAAATTCAGCGATACCTGTCAGAAATCAAAGTAAGCGGTTTGCCTTGCAGACAAAGCCACAACCAGGAGTTGAGGAAGGAGGCCACACTATTGCTCGGATGCTGTCTTCCTGGTAGGTGAAGTCTGCCCTCAAATACAGGCTTCACTTTTTGCTGTTGTTTCTAGGAGCCCCGGGGAATCCTCAGTTCCACCGAAGACAGCGGGAAGTTTTGAGAATAACTCACCAGTCCACCTGGGCCATCATCGATCTATTATCTTCCCCTCCACATCCCTGCGCGCAGGCCTCCGTGAACAATCGCAGTTCGTCAAAGCATCGCATGTTCCGGGCCTCTTGCCCCGGGAGATGGCAGTCCGTCTGGTCAGGACGCCGTCTACCCTGCTTCCCCTGTTGGGTGTCACGCGCTTTGCCAGTCTCCTCCACCACGCTCTCCGGAGGTGTAAAGCTCACCAGCTCTTCCATTTCCCGGCCGATGAATGTTTTTTAAATCAGCGAATAACGCTGATTAACTAAATGGCAGGCTGAGCAGCTGCCTTTGCAGTGGTGTACCCGGCCACGGCTGGGAGTGCCCCCAGGAGCCTGTGTTTTGCACTTTCCCATATTATCCATTTTTGACCCTCTTACTACACCCATCTCGTCTACTTATGCAAGCAGTCCTAACACAGAAGGTGCTTCCTAACTACTTACTCTGTAAATATACATGCCCAGCCAGGGTGTGGAAACGAGTTGCATTGACATTTCTTAACAGGAGGTAGTCACCACTTTCTGAATGGCCTCTCCTCTGTGTCAGGTAGCCAGGACATTCCGGGGACACAGGACCCATTTCCTGGGCAGACAGGTGATGACTACCAGGAACTACCAGTTCCTGGTATCCTTGCATGGGGCTCATGCTCTTGAGCCCCCCAACATGTAATAAATCTGTAGGACACACAGGTTACATTTCATGCTGTGCGTCTCTGACTTTACTGGGCCTGTTCACTGTGCTGGCCCATGAATCTTCCCCAAGTGAAGGTAGATGAGGAAATGGAGTCTTTGCTGTGCGGGACGGGAGCCTCTATGTGCGCTGTGACCGGTGGGACACAGAGGTCACCAGGAGTAGGACTCCAGCAGGGCACTGCCGCCTCCTGGATGCGACATCTGGCTGGGCCTGGTGAGGCAGAAAGGCATTTTTATTGGCTTTTCTTTTGCATGGAATTTTGAAGCTGTTTGTGGGAATTGGCTGCATTAATCAAACAGCTGTTTCTCAGAGACATGGTTTATGTTTGCTGGAGCCTCTGAGGGTCCAAGGCATTATTTTTGCTTGCTGAAAGTAAACCATGGGCCAGATCTAAAATGCCAATGGTTCTCTTTCATCACCAAGCCCTGATGGATTTATGTGTGGTCTCCTGACAAAGGAGGAGGAAAGAAACTTGAGGGAATCTCAGGACATGACAAGGAATAGAAAAGTTGGGTCTCTGAGATACAAAGAAAATTCGGGCCCTTAAAGGTGCCAGGGCACCGCGATGTGGGTGAGGGAGATTTGCCGTCATGGAACATCAAGGGCATGGTGACACTGTACCAGGCTGGGCACTTTCCCACGTGGTGCTCGAGACACTGACGGTTGCTTATTTAAATCTTTCTCAAGTACCAAACTCAGCACAGCCCTGTGGAAGATCCACCTTGTTTATTACTCAGGACTGAGTTCATTAGGTACAAACATGGCATTTATTATTTTCTCTGAAAATAAAATATATGAATCCTGTAAAAAATAATTGGAAAATAAAAAAAGTATAAAACGAAATAAAAATCATGTATAAGCATACAATTCAGGAAATAATGCCTACGTATACTGTAATATATTCCTTTTACATTATATTAGATTTTAATAGTCTGAGAATATAATTTGTATGGGTTGTGTCATTCTTTATATGATCGTTTTTCTGCTATAGGTTATTTAAGTTGTTTTCATTTTTCTCACTGTTGTAAATAAGACCTCATTGAACATCCTTGTACACAATTTCAGGCCACATTCTTTTATAGTTTTTTTTTTTTTGGTACATATTTCTAGAGGCGAAGATGTGGAGATCATTGAATATTCATTCTTTTGAGGATTTTAATTCAAAGCAGTAAAAACACAGCATTCCACCAGTGTGTTAATTTACCAAGAATAAAAGCAGATTTACCATGTGGACCCCAGGATTGTCCTAGATATTATCTTATGTATATAGGGTCATAGATGATATATATACATCAACCAAATTTTTGCTCAAAACAGGCATGAAATAAAGTTTTGCCACTAATATAAAAGTGATTCATTTCATGAGTTCGATTCTTGGTTCCGGGAAAAAAAACGAAAAAAAAAAAAAAGTGATTCATTCTTTCTTACATTGTCTATTTGCTGAAACGGTATTTCTCAACTTGCTAAACAGCACAGTGCGAGAGGGCACTGCATGAACCTAAGGTAGAAGAGCCGTGGCCTTCATGCAGAGAGAGGGCACTGTATGAACCTAAGGTAGAGGAGCCATGCTAGGTCTCTAGCAAGTCTCTTTCGTACTCGTGGACCGTATAGACATCTGGACAACATACAACTCCTGAGCGCCTCAGCCATCACATAGCCTCAGCTTTGGCTCCCAGGTCAGCCAGACAAAGGTTCATTCAGGTTGCCATGGAAACAGTGATGTGCACAGTTTATATTATGCTAACCTGAGGTTATCATTCACTCTGCAGGGCTGTGATTTCCCCTCTGGTCCAGGCTTCTAGATAAATGAGACTGCGCCATCTGCAAGGAACTTGTTAGTTTCCATTGAATAGGTTTTCTCTTTCGATCCCAAAATTCCTGTGTCTTTATGTAACTTCCCTGTTAACTAAGAGAAAAAATAAATAAATGCATTCCTCAAGTGAAGAAAGAGAGAAAGACAAGTAGAGAAAACAAAGCCTGCACTCTCAGAGAGAGAGGGCTCTTGATTAGACAGGAAAGAGTGGAACATGTTTCCTGTAGATCCGGTGGCCTGTGGCTCCTCGCCACCCCGTTTTTCTGCAGAGGCCTTTGGATAAAACCCTCTCACATATTTATATGCCAGTCACCTCCTTAGAGGAGCAGCCACTGTCCACTGTGGCCAGACTGGAGCCAGGACATTCAGAGTCAAGGCCGGGAGACCGTAGCTCTGGGGTCTTTTCTGTCCGGCCTGGTTCCAGGCCCTGTAAATCACAGCTGACAGCCCACTGTTTAGAGCCCTGCTCACCAACTGTTGGCCCAGAGATGTGAGCCAGTTCTGTTCACACCTGGAATTCTGCAGGAGGTGGGGAGTAAGTGAAGCCACACCCAGGACCATATAGAGAGGCGTTTTAATCAGCCCTGGTGTCCCCGTGTGGGAAAGGAGGGAGGGGGCAGCGGGACCTACACAAGAGGCCATGTTTGATGGGAGCGTGCTCACAACTTGTGCTTCGAGACAGGTGTGAGTGAGCAGATGAGCCCCTGCCTGCAAAGCACTCCCCCTCAGTGGGGAAACAAGCAGCAGACAGACTCGGAAAGGAAATAGGCCCATTGTCATAAGCCACAGGGTGACATGTCCTTTGATTCTATGAAAGAATAGAGCGCAAGTGAGGAGAATCAGCCAGAACTCATCAGTCTGGGGCCTCACTGTGAGGGTGACTGGGGTGACCAGGCAGAGATCTGAGGGTGGTGGGGAGTTGTCTGTGGGCAAGCGTGCCCAAGACTAGCACAGGAAGGGGGTGGCACAAAGGGAGTGAGGATGGTCTGAGGCCACAAGGGGAGAAGGACCTTAGGACACGTGGGGTACAGAGGCATTGTAAGGATTTTGCATTTACCCCAGACATGGGTATCCCTGCGGGGCTTAGAGCCAGTGACCCCCAAAGCCATTTCTAGACCTTCAAGAAGAGACTTGCTGTGATCAGCAATGCCCGCCACGCTGGCTCCCCAGCCACCAGGAGCCCTTAAGGGGGCCCTGCTGGGCACGTTGGGCCCATCAGTGCCGTAACGTCTCTCTGGAGCCAAGGCTCTGCCTGCTGGGTCACAGAGGTGGAATGACTCAGTGGGCCACGGCTGTCAGGACTGTACCTGCTCAAGCCTCTGAGAGGGAAACTGAGGCGCTGACCCCAAGGCTGTGCTGCCTGCTGTGGACAGGTGCTGGGTTTGCGGTGAGGGGTGCAGGGCCGCCATCCTGAAGATACCATGTGGCCCCTGCCTCCTTCACAGCTATAGCTGCCACGGGGGTGGGACAAGCCACATGTCACTGATTTCCAGGTTCAAAATTATATTCACCAAACATGGCTTAATCCTTGCATGGAGGGGAGAAAGGCCTTTCACTTTACTCTGCTTTATACTTTTCAAAAAGGTCTTTCATCTCCAGCATGACTAAGGATGAAATGTCATCGGTTTTATGTTTCCAGATAATGCCGTCCCAGAAAACATCCTGCAAGGATAGAGACAGGGAGATCACGAACTGGCCGTCTGCACTTTCCTTCCCTGTGTAAACACAGGCCTCTGGTCCTGTCTTGGGGTCTGTCGGACCCCATGGGTCACAGTCATTGCTGGGCCCAAAGCCGCCCTTTGAGCCTCTGAGATAGGCCAGCAAGGTTAACAAGTTAATAAAATCCTACTTATCAGACTCGCGAGCCCGCTTCCTCTTCCCTGAGCTCATGGTTGTAATTATTCTTTATGGACTCTGCGTGTTTCTTTAGATCTGGCTTCCCCCAGCTCCCTCCTACTTCCTGAGGCTTCACCACAGAAGTGGAGGCTCAGGTCCACGGAAAGCGGCTGTTACTCATTCCGTCTGGGTGGAGCAGGGGTCAGTCTGCAGGAACGCACTCACGCTCTCAGGATCTCAAAACATACCTGGGGGAGGTCACTGCTCTTCTGGGGTTGACACAGGTTAGGAATCCCAGTGGCTCCCAGTTAGCCCCAACCCACTGCTCCCAAGTCCGGAGGTAAACCAGTTCTGGCCTCTTTAAAGCCACAGAGCTTCACCTGAAAAGCTGGAACTACGTCATTTGAACTATATACTCATGAAGATGAATTATAATAATGTATATGAAAGTATGTGATGTGATCAAAACAGTGATTTTGTTTGATTATTTTGTTTTTTGAGACAGGGCCTTGCTATGTAGTTCAGACTGGCTTAGAACTCACTGTGTAGCTCAGGATGCCCTTGAACTCATGGCAATCCTCCTGCCTCAGCCTCCTGAGTGCTGGGATTGCAAGCATGTACTACCACACCCTGAACAGTCATTGTTTAAGTTGAAAATTTATTACAGTAAAAGTCATTGGCGTTAAACCTCCTCAGAATCCTTCCCCTTCTTCAAACGCTTAGCCCATTGACCTTGCCTCCTTCCGAAGCAGCTCTGGAAGTCCTTTTTCACGAGTATCTTTAGTCGTGCTGCTGTGGCTGCCGTGATGTCCTGAATCCACTGAAAACATATTTTCATAGTCATTTGGACTTTGGCAATGAGCCAGAAATCAAATGGCCCTGGGTCCGTGAATAAAGCGGAGGAGGACACAGGGCCTGTTTTTACAAGCCTGCCTTGCTACTGGATGGCGCTTGTAGCAGCATTCAGAGTTTTGATCCCCCCTTGTAAAGACACTTCCAGAACTGCTTCAGAAAGCGGCAAGAACAGTGGGCTAAGTGTGGCTGAAGGAAGATTTTGAGGCAGATT